ATATATAATTTCTATTTCATTAAATAGCAATTTTACACTGTTATCAACTAATTAATTGTTAACCTGAGTTGTTTTGATCTTAACATTAGAATGAATTTTAGATTTTATATTTGCAAAAAAAAAAAAACAATTTTCATTTCAGGATAGTTGGTGAACGTGTAACGCATCGAGATCGATTAAGCCAACAGCATCGACCGGCGCGTCCACAATCTTGGGCTTCAACAATCTCCACTGATAGTATTCGTTCTTCTGATACAACCACAGACAGGTAAATTAATTACTTGAAATCGAAATTTAATAATAAATTTTCCTAGGCATTTTTAATAAATGACAAAATGTTAAAATTGAAAGTATCATTTTTTATATAACTATGATAACTATATTGCAGTAGTGTTGTGGACGGAAATGGAAATAATCCAAATGGTAACTATTGTTCATCACCTTCTTCTGGATCACCAACATTTGTTCCGGCTACATCGGATGAAGATCCGGATAATAACATCGTTACAACTGATCAGCTACAAACACGATCATACAGTTGCCCAGAGGTTAAACAATTACTTTTCAATTTCATTTTATTTTTGAGTATATGACAAGCACATATATGATTACTATGTGCTCAATTCATCGTTAATTATTATATCCTCAACTATTTTATTATTAATATTGTAATTTCTTTATCATATATTGTAAATAATAATTCAATTTCAACTATTGGTTTTTATTGCTATAATTATTTTTATTTTAGTTATTTATAATTATTGATTAGATTTTTATTATAATTAGATTATTCAACAAGTAATCGCTAAATAATTAAAAATGAAAAATAGACTTCAAACTTAAAAGTTTTCTAATTATTATCTTCCAATTTTTTGCATATTTCAGAATTCTCTAGGAGACTTATCATTACCATCATCATCTTCATCAACAACAACAACAACAACAACAACAATAACAATACCATCTTCAGAAATATTAAATACAATAATACCATCTTCAATATTGGCAGCTAAATCAGTAGCAGCAACAACAACAACATCATTGAATACAATTGTAGAAAGTTCTTCTTCCACTGAATTATTTGCAACAATTTAATGTTTTATAACTTTTATTTTATTTTCCATTTTTTGTTGTTTATTCCATTTCTCTTTTTTTTAGATCATTTAATAACAATTTTCTTAGGATATTGAGCAGACAGAAAAGGAAAGAAAGAAAGAAAACAATTTTGAAAAGATTATTGAATAAAATAAATAATATAAAATTTCTCGTTTTCCTTTGATTTACAACTTATCCCAATGCTCATACAAATAACATTTCTTAGTTATCTTTTTGTTTATTGGAAAAGAAAAGTAAAAAAAAATGAATGAATTTCAATTCACTCATAGTAATAATAACAAAATGATCGCATCAAAAAAAAAGAGAAACAAAAGTATTAACAAATTTCATTTCATTATTTTATTTTAAAAGTATTTTATTCATACAATAATGACTATTGTGCTCATTATTTAGGTGTATTATATATCCAAATTGCTATATATATTCATTCTCTGTTTCAATTCAATTCCATTACAGTTCCTGGTGAATTTTTATCATTATTCTTATCATTATTTGTTCCATTCCTTGTAATTCCCTTTTTTTATTTTTGTGTATTTCACTTCTACTTTGGATACATTATATATAT